TGATTATATTTTCTCTATGTCTGTTCAAATCGAAGTTCATCAACTTAGTAAGGTTGCCTTTTTTCTAATGAACTGGAATCAGATGTGCCAATTTCTATTTGTGAAGGAGAGGAGTTAGGTACAAGAGACCTAAAGAAACTGTACAGGCAAACCAAGTAGAAACAGCCACAAGGCAAATAACTACGGAGTACTACGGTTGCCATAGTACAAATATGGCAAACATAATTCAAAAGGCAAGTGTATGCAGCTCTTCTACATGTTTGCTAGTGTACAGTTTCACATGGTTGCCATTTAGTTAGACACAATTATGACTAATGCAGCGAAAAAGTTTCATTATAAATGTTACTGACAACATTATCTGTGGAGATTCAAAATAGCACCGAGGATATGCAGTTTTGAAACGCACATGGCTGACTCAGCAATGACAAACAATGGAATTACTTAGGCCTTCAGTTTTGCATTTGTTACTATAATATACTAACTAAATCACAAATTTGTCATGGATTGGAAGGTTGCTTTTGCCCTCAAAACAAGGCTTATGTTCAGCATTCAGACAATGCATTACACATGACATAGCCATATGCCCATATGTGTGCTGTGCAGCATGTGTAGCATATGCCAATATAGGCCAAATGATGTGCTAACAAGATCACATGCCCTGAGTTAAGCAGGGCAGACTCATTTTAATAAACAGACCTATATATTTGCCTAAAAAATAACATACACCTGAGACTTGTTTGTGCTCAGGCAGCAACAAAGAAGCTCGGGTCTGCGGAAGGGAGTAAGGGAATCTAAGATTTCTGGACAAAACTATGGCAAATTGACTGCTTACCGAAAATCAAACAGTTTTTGTGGAGGCTAAGTCATAATACCCTGGCCGTTAGGCGTGTGCTGAAGAGAAGAGGAATGAAAATAGATACTGTATGCTGTATGTGTGGGAGGCTTGACGAAGATGGAGGACACCTGTTTTTTTTAATGCAAAGAAGTAAGACTGGTGTGGAGAGAGTTAAATCTAGAAGGAATTCGCTGTAAGCTTATGGAAGCCAGTTCAGCAAGGGAGGTGATGGAAATGATCCTCAAACTAGAAGGAACAACTTATGGTGATTATATTATTATGTCTCTGGAGGCAGGAAGGCAGGAGACGGACAGCGTCAGAGATTGCCTACATCTCAGCATCTCTGGCTGAGCAATTTCAGAAAACAGAAGGCGACGGCGTGTTGTCGGATAGGCGTCAGAAACAGAGATGGAGAAGGCTGCAGGCTAATACCCTGAAACTGAACACCGACGGCTCGTTTGATAATGAAAGTAAAAAGGGTAGATGGGGATTTAGCCGGGTCTGATGAGTAATATAAAGTACGAAAATTTCAAAATAAAAAACATACACCTGTAAGATAGCATTAGTGATTAGGTTCGCCATCCTGATAGACAAGAGCGTCGCCTGAAAGAACAAATCAAGAAAAGAAGATATGCTCTGTCCTAAACCTTTGTTCTCAAGAGTATGACGAAGCACTGGGCTGGCAGGCGCACAGGTACTGTACGAGATGGTCCTCGTCGCCCCCGGATTTAGTGGTCGTCGTCGCCTTCGCAGGAGGGGAAGGAGGCGCAGAGGATGGCGCCGACCCGTTGTTTTCGCCCGCGTCCGCGGAAGCGTCGATGGCGAGCTGGTCCGGGCGAGGGCAGCAATCCGCTGCGGCGTCGATGGAGAGGGGTTCCGGGTGATGGGGAGCACTCTGCGGCGGCGGCGATGGAGAGCAGGATTCGCAGGGGATGGGCCGATGGAGCAGGGCGGCTGAATCGGTGCGAAGGGGGAGCGGGAGTGGGTGGGCCACGGGTAGTAGTCGCACCGTCCCTCGGTGCAGCGCCGACAGGTGGGGCTCGCTAACCGGGTAAACGTCCTACTCTTGAAGCCTGATGTCAGCGTGACATCAAGATGACGTCATATACCATGTTTTTCCTTGCAAAATAAAAATCTGAAGTACACTACAAATACTACGAAACAATGCTCACGAGTTGTTGATCACCAGCCGAGATTCACCAGCCCATTATCCTCCCCACCATGGACACGGTCCATAATGGACCGTTCTCTCTTTCGCCACTTCAGTCCATAATCCGTGTTGTGCTTTTATATCATTTCTTTTTTACAAAAAATATTGTTGGCATCATAAATAGTTATATGCTGACATCAAGAAAAATGTTTTAAGTGCAAAAATATTTCTAAAAATACATATTAAAATGTTAATTTTAGTCCCTCAATTTCAAAAAAAAAAAACTCGGTCTGCGGGGGTCATGACCGGACCGCCCCCACGGTATTGTGATTAAGAAGAAGGTCTTCTCATATAGACCGAGAAAATCTCCAACCCCGCCCCATCCATACACAGGGAGCCGCCACTTGTGGGAAGGACCATCTCTTAACCTGTGTTTTGGCCCGGGGGGAGCGAGAGGATTTTTTTACTCTCAACCTGAAATTCACTCTCATGGGAGTTCGAACTCAGGATCTGAGGGGTGTCTCCGAAACCGCTAACCAACTGGATTAGCATCCTTTGGCCTCAAATTCGAAAAATTCAAAGCTTTTCGTTGGAAACTTTGTTTTCGTTGGATCCGATTGATAACCAGAACACCAGCCTTGCAAGATGCCTGAAGGCTATGAGTTCAGATCTAAAAACACATATGCTTATGTTGGCATTATTCTAGTAAGTATAGAAGAGATTAAGCAAATATATTCCTCCGCATAGAAATTTGTGTAAATAGAACCTTAAAACTTATTTTGTATTCAATTTACACCTTCACACGTTACTTTCTGGTTTGATGCTCGATGAAGACGAATTTCATACCAAAGTTGTAGTACTCGGACGAGATTTACAACTTTGTAGTTCAAACCTTTTTTGTTGAGATCTTTTAGATGTCCAAATATGCAACACAAAATTTTATAGAGTTAATATGAAATAAGTCCATGTGCTCCATAGTTACAAATAAGTGTGCAATGGTAGTAAAGGATCTCAGATGGATAAACAACCAAAAAAAGTTGTAGATTTTAAAAAGTTATGCAACTATTTAGTCATTTTGATGCTGAAAAACATAATTCACAAGATTTTATAGAAGTTAATACCGAATGATCCATATGCTCTATAGTCATAAGTGAATGTGAAGTGGTAGTAAAGGATCTTGTTTGGACAAGTGACCAAAACAAAAATTCTAGATCTCGAAAAGTTATACAATTTTATAGTTGACAACTTTTTCATTTAAAATCATTTATCGAACAAAAATTATGTATGAATTCTCACATTTAAAATTTGAATTTTTCAAACAACCTCGGATGGACAAATGAACAAAACAAAAGTTGTAGATCTTAAGAAGTTACACAACTTTATAGTTGATGACTTTTTCATTTGAAATCATCTATGCAGGAAAAAATCACATGAATTTCCTCACATTTGAATTTCGAATATTTCCAAACAACCTTGGTTGGAGAAATGACCAAAATAAAAGTTGCAGATCTCAAAAAATTTCATTAATATTTGTATTATTAATAGAAGGTAATATAATTGACCACATTAAATTGATGTCACTAGTTATATAAGAACAAATTTCATTTATGTGTTAACATTAATATTAAAATTAATATTAGTCATTACTTTAAAATAGACTAATTTGGTACATATTATTAATATTGTCACAAAACCAATATACGTAGTCATTACTCATAAAGTAACTTTTAGATAGAGAAATCTAGTAGTATATTTTTTTTAGATATAAGGACCGTATCGGATGTCCATCAAATTTTCTTTTAGATAGCGAAATCTAGTAGTATATTTTTTGATATATATATATATTAGATATAAGCACCAGAAATCTTGTTAGCACGCACCCGTCACGAAGGATCGTGTGGGCCACCGCCCCCTCCTCCGGCCTCTGAGCACCGAATTGCTTCCTTTCTGTTATGACTGCTGGAAGTGTAACATTTTGTTTCATTTGTTGTTTCTGGGAAGTTTGATCCATAAACTGGGCCTTAAGTCGAAACGACCTGGTTTTTTTTTCCAGGGAGGGAAAAAAACTTCTGGCCTATTCTTTGTAGTTTGTCTTGATTTCACCTTTTTCTTTGAGTGTTTGTTGGCCTATTCCTTTTTCATTCCTCAGCTCTTGAGAACTTATCACCTTCTATGTTCGGTCCTATATGTTACAGTACACCTTCTATGTTCGGTCCTATATGTTCCAGTACCCCTTCTATGTTACAGATTGAATTGGGTATTGTCGACTAATCATTAGTTCATCACAGCGATTCACTGAAGTTTTTTTGTTTTGTTGCGATTAGTAGTCGTCATCACGTGGGAAAAACTCAATTGACATGTCGTATAAGCAAATATTTGATTAGCAATTTGTTTTGCAGATTTGAGATGGCTTAGTGCAATTCGTGTTCTTGCATTGAAAAGTGAGCACTTCTACAGAACAATCATAGTAGGAGGAGCTCAGCCGCTGCACTTCGACAATTAGGTAAGCAGGTAGCAGTGCGTCGGCAACTTATGCAACAGCTTTCATTCGCTCTCACAGGCAAAGGAAATACTTACCACTCGATTGTTTCACTAGTGTCATGGTATGCCACAGCCTGTTTATTTTATTCAAGCTAACTGAACACTACTATATATAAAGTTAATATGTCATGCTCTAGACCATCCTACCTGAACTATAGCACTTTACTTGTTCTCAAGCTCCAAGTTCAAATCTACTCTTATTAAAGCAGTTTGCTTTGACCGATACTCAGGGTGTCCACGTTAGTAAATTTTATTTGCTCCGTTGGATGAAGATTAGACGATAGCCAGTGCCTTTTCTGCATGTGTACGGTGCTTAACATTACAAATATGGCCTTTAGCTTAATTGTTACTATTCGGTTATACTTGATTCTTATTTGTGAATTATCCTATGTTTTATTCTTATTTTCCTATTGGTGCTAAATTTTATTTAGATTGTGCTACCACGGCGGTTGATAATTGGACCATAATTCTGGAATGGATGGGAAAGCTGAAGGACATAAACATGTGCAAAGGGAAATGGATAGAGATGAGATATGCTTTTTCGACTTGATTGATCTGATCGAGGGTTCTGGGTACACATTAGTCGACTATCTATACTACAAGAGAAAAGATAGCTTGGTTGTAATAGAACAAGATTTTGATGTGATGGAAATGCTCAACGAGTGTGAGAGCGAAAAGACGGTTAATTTGTTTGTAACGAGGTAGAGACTGGCCACTTTAGCGCCTACCAAGTTCAACAAAGAACCATCCAAATCTAAACAAAAAAAAGGGCAACTATTCCAAGTCATGTTAGTTATCAATGATTTATTTTCATCCAAGATTAGCATATCCAACCCCACCGTGGTATGTGACTTAATAAATACAATCTTGATAGTCTAATACAAATATCTAGCTGTTTAATAAAAAGATTACATATTGTTTAGTATATTTACTATAAACACATGTTCATGTCCCCAACATTTGTTTAGCAGGAAGAGGAGGTAGAAAGAAAAAGAAAGGATTACATGTAATGCATACTGAAGCACTATATGCTAACGAGGTTGAGCAGCACGATGATGAAAACCAAAACACATCAGGTACAAATGTAGTTAGATCGATCTCATTCATATGGACTGCATCTTAACCAATTACTATCACTATCATTCTGTTTTTAATAGGTGATGGCGATGAAGTACCTGATAAACGAAAGGGGACCATTTTAACACATGTTTGGGATCTACTTGAAGGAGATCGGATAGTAGTAAGATGTAATATGCTTGGACAACCCATTGGAAAATAAGGTGGCCTTTTAGGGCAATTTTTGGGCACCATAGCAAGAAATGACGGTTACTGTCCTGTTGGTGCCAAAGATTGGAGAGACGCTAAGAAAAACAATGCAAAAACCATAATTCAATTCGTCCAGGTTAGCTAAATTTTACGAGACATAATGTTTTTATAAGATTAAGTATATATATGCTTGTTATCATGTCATGAAGTCAAATTCATTCATTAGTGACTTTCTTATTTTAGACAAAGTTCTTATATCCTCGTTCATGTGAGAAATGGATATTGAAATCAATTGGAAGAGATTGGAGAAAACACAAGGCAACATTAAAAAATACACTATTTAATCCAAAGAAGAAAAAATATGTTTTGAGCAGGCGTTGTCTAGATGATATCGATGAAGATCAATGGAAGGCCCTAGTAAAACATTGAAAGTCGAGTGAAGGACAAGTAAGGCACCATTATTGACACTATTTGCCTTTTTTTTACTATCACTATCTATACCATTATTGATTTCTATATGTATAATGGTTCATTATCTATTAATTTACTTTTCTTGTAGACCCTAAGTGAGAGGAACAAAATAAGTCGTGAAATGAAGAAGACAACACATACAACGGGTACAAAGAGTTATGCTCGTTGGTCTGAGGATATGGTGAGTCATCTTCTGTTTAAAAAAATTATATATGATTCTTCTTACTTTTCTTTATTGCTATTTTTCGGAGGCAAGCTGATCCTGAAAAAAAGCCACATAGAACAAAGGTTTACCTCGCAACTCACAGGAAAAGGAGAAAAAGGGATAAATGAACGAGTGGTATGCTACATGCACATGAGAATTTTTGCAAATATAAAATTATTTCTGTTTTCTAGTGTGCAGATTTCTTGCATTGCTTGTAGGTTGAACTGGATAATCTCTTACACACACAACTAGAGTTAGCACAAAATAGTGAGGGAGGAGTTGCATGGGAAGGTGATGCAGTACATCAGGTGTTGGGAGAAGAGAAAGCTGGACAAGTGCACCGCATGGGATTGCTTCCAGTTCCTAAACAAGTTTATGGTCGAAAAACATACCATTTTAAGGACATTAATATAGTTTCACTAGATGGCTCATCATCTGATGTAGAGACTCACATGTTAGAGGAAATAAGGCAACTCAAAGAGCATTCTAGAATGCAAGACAAAGTTATTGAAGAACTAAAAAACAATCAAAGGCACCATGAGAACCAAGAAGCAACAATGGTACCAATGTACATTTTAATTTGTAACTCTGTATTGAAATGTGTTCCTCAAACTTTATATCTTTTCTAGGGAAATTGTGCTAGGAGTGATCATAACAATTGTCAGAATCAAGCGGTGCTTCCTAAAAGAAAGGTATTTGCTCTATTTTCCATGTTTTCACCTAATCTAGTCTTCATGCTTTAATATTGTTTCAAATTTTTAGAGAGTTCACTGTGTTGCACCCAACCAGAATGATGGATTCCTTGAGCACAGGGATGGATTGGTAAAGTCACTTTCTTGGGAATTAATACTTATTTTATCCATAAAAGATTTTTTTATATTAACTCATGCTACTATCTTTTTTCTCTTTACTAGAATAAAGAAACATGTGAGTCTAAATTTAGTGATGATGATAGTCTACTTTTGTCCACCACAAGTAGAACAACAAAGAAACAAAAGGTATCTATGAACCACACTTTTCTATAATTATAGTAGAATTTGTCTTATTATTTCATACTTCATTTTATATGTGTAAGGGTTAGCACGGAGGGCCTAGAGAGACTACAACTGTCACACCCAATTTTAAGGATAAAATTGAATGCACTAAACTCATGTGTGCCCAGGGATCAGTCACACACATAAGTTGACAAATTATAAAAAGTATCATCACGGTGTATCTTACATAACGAATAATAGCATCACATTGACTTACATAACACAGCGGAAGATAAAAAGATAACTCTCTTGTGGAACTCCATCACAGGGACGGTCGATTGGTTGACCACAAGCCTAATAATCCTCAGGAAACTCCTTATATCCGTTGTCATCTGTTACCCATCCGAGATTTTTATCCAAATATAGAAAGTAAACAAGCGTAAGTACGTCCCGTACTCAACAAGATAACATGGGGTTATGAAGCTCAAAAAAAGGTTGACACTGGTTTACTGCAGTTAGCACTTTTAGTAAGTCAAGATTTTATCCTCAACTATTATCAAGTTATGCTTAAGCTCCCATTTAAACCCACGTGATCATATATCTGATCCAATTGAGTCATGTGACATCATCATAATCATCTTGTATAAACAACATTATAAGTAGCCATCTATTCTGTGAGTTTTCCGGGCCGCTCGTGACCGTGAGCACGGCTGTTATAACAGTTTGTTACCCTCTGTAGAGGTGGTGCACATTCACCGCGAGTCGTGATCCCCATATGCCCGGGTTAATTACTCCCATGTCACTTCCAAGGTGAGCGGGCAGGGTACACTATGAAGCCATTTCATAGGTTTCTCTAACAAGTTAGGGCTGCTAGGTTTCCTTAGCAGGCAGATGTAGGAACCCCCCTTTCCTATGGCACATATCCATCGCGGCTATACACATAGGAACAGAGGCAGCCCTATACCCAACGTGGCAAGCCCCATTTGCGCCAAAAAGGTAACCTCTAACTAGCTAGAAAAGGTCCTATTACTGAGCTAAAGTGAGAGCCATATGACTCTCCCGGTTGCACTGTTAGTCCCAGCTTTTGCCGATAGATAAGTCCTTATGGAGGGCCGGGAGCAACATGAACAAAGGTCATTTGCACTTTCGCCCTATGGAACAGTTGTTATAAATCATGTTACTCACTTTGTTCCATAGTATCATTCATCGACATGTATATCAAGTTCAGTTAGAGCACTAGCAATCTACCCATATGCATTTAACCCATAGGAGACAAGGAACAGGATAAACAATCACTAGGATGTCCTTACGGGTATCAAAATTAGACACATGCAAATGAGTAATTGATTAAAGTGAAATAGGACATCAAGGAAGGCCCATGCTATACTTGCCTTGGTTCACAAACTCGTGCTGGTCCTGCTGGTTGTCGAAGAGTTCTTGGTCTCCAACGTTTTCCTCACCGTCTGAACGCGACCAACACGGCAACATACAACATTCCAAAAGCATTCATGCAAAGCAAACATTCCTATCATTAGAATAGTACATCAACAGTATTGAAAACAAGATAAAATATTTGTAAACATATTCTATGTCTCGCTACGATCACGTCAACGCGAAGTTCACAAAAATCGGAGCTAAATAGCGAAAGTTATGATTTAAACGGGTTTTCCTATAGCCATATATTTAATTAAATCTAATCATGAAATTAAAAAGTTTCAAACTTGACTAACAGTAGCTCCAACATGTAACTTATGAAATTACAAAGCTAACGCGATTTGAATGGATCAATTCGGAGCTAAAACGACAATTTTATAAGCAAAACAGTTCAAATGGCATTTCTGTAATTACTGAAAACGTATTTTTGACTTAAGCCGTGGAGTTTACGCTTTCCAAACGGGATTGCGCGTTCGGGAAATACGCTTTGGGCTACGGGTTAGGACTTAGAAAAGTCCAGAGACTCTTTTGAAAAATAGCCACGCGAAGGGGTATCTTCCACTGGTGGCCGTTGATCTCGCGATGGGCGTTTGAGATTAGACCGAGGAGGAGAACAAGGGGGGCGGGCGGAACAAAGTAGCTTCATGGCGGGCGCCATTGCCGACGACGAGGAGCTCACCGCTGTGTCAGCCCACGGGCCATGGGGATGATGTGGGGAAGATGGCGAGTCCATCCCGGACAAAACACATCCGGGGATGGCTCATGGGCGCCCCGCCATGACCGGCAGCAGGAGGAGCTCACCGGCGCGACTTGACACGTCTGATAATTCTCACCGCGGGGAAGCGAGGACGGAGAAGGCTCGGGGACGGCGGTCCGTGCGGAGAGTGAGGGACGGCGGATCGGCGGAGCTCTCTTCCGTCACGATGGTTGTGGGGGCTTTGAGGCGTGAACGCGAGAGAAAACGGCGTGGGGGAGCATCGAGGCGCATAGGGGGCTCGGCTCCTATTTATCGAGGCCAAGGAGCCGGGGGGGACGCTCCCATGACCGGAGGCGTGGGCGGCGGTTGCCAAGGCGCACGCGTGGAAAGAGGTGGGGGAAGGAGCTAACACATGTCGGCCCCAAGATGAAGGAGGCGCTGTGGTAGTGGCTTGTTGTTTGGCCGCGCGACAATGATGATTGCTGTGCCCAAACAGGAACGGGAGAGGGGGAAAGGGAAGGCGCGGGGCGGCTGCTGGTCATGCGCTGACTTCTTTGGCCAAGCGGCGAGGCGCATGTAGAGATGGGGAAGAGCGAGCGGGCCGCGGGAAAGAAAGGGCCATGTGGGCCAAAAGTGAGGAAGAGGAGGGAATGGAAGGAAATTTCCTTTTATTTTTATAAATAAATTTTTCCAATCTCATTTTCAAGGTAAATTTGAATTCAATTCAAATTTTAGTCAAAGCTAATCATTACAAAAGCAAATGCACAGCAGCATGAATGCATCAACATGTTTCTATTCCTTATATTTGATTTTAATTTCCCAAAAATTATTAATTTCCTATATTTGAATGCACACAATATAACATAAATAAATCAAATTTACTATTTTAAAAGATTGCAAATTTTAGGGTGTTACAACAACCATTGCACACCAAGAGGTGGCTCATGACAAGGCTACATGCTACAAGCGTCAAACACCTAAACAACTTCCTCTAATGAAGGTAGATGAACATAATATTACTTGTTCTAATTGCATGATCATGATGTACAACTAAAGGTTGTTGGTCACTAAGAGATTATGTCAAATTAATGTAGGCTGGATCCATGGTGCTATTAATGACTTCAAAATATCCTAATAAGGCTCATGTGGCCTATACAACTCTCTTGAGCACTGATCCAGAAGCCATTGTTGGTGGAGTTAAGATAGGAAGTCAATTCTACCAAGTGCGTATCAATCATGTTATAGCAAAAGATGAGCCATTAGTGAGGCCCATGCCTAGGTGCAACAATATTGGTGATGCTCAAGCCAAAGGAGTCTCAATTGCTTGGACTTTGATGTTTGTATGTTCAAACTAGCTTTTAACTTTAAATCAATGAACATATGTGGCCTAATTTGTAATGTTACAACTTACATTTTCTTTGCAAGTTGAAATGATTAATGGTTGAATTTCTACGTCAATGTGTACAAGAAGAAGCAATGGACTTTATGAATCCTAGCTAGTTCTTGAATTTTTCTTTCTAGTATGGACTATGTGTGTTTGCTCTCTAGAGCCATATCGTTATGTACATAAACTATGATTTGATCTGAACAAGCACTATGTTTGAAATCATCCTACAATATGTGGATCTTTCTATGATTATGGAAATTTGTGGTTTATGTGATTTTGCAATGTCTCATGTTTGTGTGATTGTATAATAATCCGTGTGCCACATGTATAGGCGAAATAAATATTTATTTCATAATCTAATTATGTTACAATAACTATAGAAAAGTGTTACAAACAATGTGTTCCTTTGTTCCATACTGTGCTCTACGATAATGTAGAAGTGTTACTAGAAGTAAAAAAAGTGTTACAACAGACAATCCCTGTAACACTAGGCAAATGTTCCGATAAATAAATAAATATGTTACAAACTATGCATTCTACCATAATGCCAAGTGTTACTAGAGCAAAAAAAGTGTTACAGAGAAATTATTGTAACACTAGACAAATGTTCCTGTAGACAAGTAGATGTGTTACAATAAACCAGTCTATAGTAACATGGCCAATTGGAACACAAAAAAATGTGTTACTAAAAGAGCTAGTAACACTTTTTCCAACCTATAGTAACACAAGTTGGTGTTACTATATCTCTGCGCTGTAGTAGTGAATGGACTTCACATTGCATTCCACTCGTCAAGATGGTAAAAAAAACATATATATAACGTCCAATTTGGAGTCTGGATGAAGGAATTATCCTCAGGGAGGGACGCCTCCAGGCGCAGGGTGGACCACCTGGAACAGGCACTGCCACAGACCAAAGTGGGGTTCAATCCCTAGAAAAGCCTCGCATAGCATCACAAAGACAATGGTGTGGAGGATCCTTGCCAGGGTCTGATCATGGAGGCGGAGCCCATAGTGGAGAAGGAGCCCCTAGAGGAAGAGGAGCGATGGGAGGCCGAACCCGTGGAAGTGGAAGGGGGTGAAGGAGACAACCTCGTTCACCATCGGCTGTGGCTCCGTCTTGAAATCTCGAACCTCAATGGAGCCCTTCATGCATCCCGCTACCTCAGTGGCCTCAGAGATCACCGCCCTTCTCTACATCTCATCAAGCTCCACATGATCCACCATCGATCGCCCCTACTTTGCCATGACTCGGGGGCATGAGGTTCTAGGACATGGTGGACATGCGGTGAGGAAAGCTCTTGAATAGAGACAAAGAGAAGGGCTTTCAGGAAGGT